TGATATTTACTAATTTACATTAAATACACATTTCTATACTTTGAAAATCCATGATCTTGTCAGTAAGATCTAATGTCTTTTTTAATTTTCCCCATATGGGCAATATTTGTTTAAAGGCAAACGAAGAAGAATAGTCCAGATCCTTACTGTTCCATACTACTCTAGATAAATCTTTGGTTTTACACATATCTGATTCTAACCAATACCATCCCTCGATATCAGATTTGTTCTTTTGTAACATAGCAACATGAGATATTATTCCAGCTTCATAGTATTTTTCTATGTTCGGGTAACCCAAACCTCCTGTTTTTATATTGCTGCTCATTGTACTTGCTTTGATCCTAGGCTTTTTGCCTCTCCACACAAAGTTGGAAAGAGAGGATTTAATCATTTTTATCCATGAAATAGGAATTACCAATGGCAATAGCCTAAATAGGTATGTCCATTTGGGGAGAATATAAGATTTTAAAATACTAACTCTGCCCCACCAGGATATTTCCAGCTGGCGCCATTCTTTTAGGTCTTTGTTAGTTGTTTTCAATAGATATATAAAATTAATCTCCATTAGTCTTTCTAAATTCTTGCAAATTCTGATCCCCAAATACACAAACTCTTCCGGGTAGAGAAAGTTAAAATCTTTTTGAAACTTTTCAATTTCGTTCAAACCTATATTATTATACAGAGCTATGGATTTAGACATATTCAGTTTATAATTAGAAACCCTACTATAATGTTCAATTTCTGTTATTACTTGTGAGAGAGAGTTTTTTGGGCTAGAAATATATAAAAGAATGTCATCTGCATATAAATAAATCTTCAGTTCTCCATAGGAAGTAGGATATCCCCTTATTAAATTATTTTGTCTTTTTTTCGATGCTAAAATTTCCACAGACATGATGTAGAGGATTGGGGACAGGGTGCAACCCTGCTTGGTTCCATTTGCCAATTTAAACCAGGTAGAACATATATTCTGACCTATTATCCTTGCTGATGGTTCATTGTAAATAGACATAATATCGTTCAGTATCCAAACTGAATTAAAACATAATTTATAACAGTTATAAATTATGTATTTAGTGTAAATTGTATATATTAGGCAGTATGTGTGTATGCATGTATGTAATAGGCAGTATATATATAGGTATATGTATTAGACATGTGCAATTTGTTTCGGTCCGAATATGAATTCGGACGAATTACAGGAAATTCGGACATTCGGGTACTTCCAAATGTCCGAAGTGCCGAATTGCAGACCCGAACTGCAGGTCCCGAAGTTCCGAAATTAACGAATTTCCAAAGTGTTAAAGTTCCAAAGTGTCAAAGTGCCAAAGTTCCGAAGCACAGTATTGCCTAAGTACTAATATAGTTACCCAGTGAAAGAAGAAGAATGTTACATTGTATACAATTTTAAATAAAAAGTATACAAACATAGCCAGGATTCAGCTGTAAGCATTTGCAACACTAACAACAATCAAGTAACATACATTCATATAAAATGTAAGTTACTTAGCCAGTCAATGTAATGACAGGAATGAATAAGTAGATAACTTCCTAATTCCCACGATAGTAGGGAGCTATCTACTAAAAGGCTGAAAGACCTAAATTGGTCTTTCAGCCAAATTTACTAATACTGTGGCTGCTCACTGTTAAAAACAAAACAAAAGGTCCCCCCTCCCGAGCCCCCACCCGCAATGCGTGGGGGCTTTTAAACTAAAGGGGGGACATATTGCCCCCTCCGGCCCCTACCCCTGAGCAGCGGGTGGGGGCCCTAATTTAAAATAATGGGGGGGACCTATTGTCCTTCCTCCGGGCCCCCACCCCTGAGCGGCGGGTGGGGGTCCTAAATCAGAATAAGGGGGGGACCTAATGTCCTCCCCCTGGCACCCACCCCTAAGCAGTGGGTGGGGGACCTAAATTATAATAAGGGGGGACCTAATGTCCTCCCCCCTGGCCCCCACCCCTGAGTGGTGGGTGGGGGCCCTACAGTAAAATAAGGGGGGGAGACCTAATGTCCACCCCCCTGTCCCCCACCCTTGAGTGGCGGGTGGGGGCCCTAAATTGGAATAAGGGGGACGACCTAATGTCCTCCCCCCTGGCCCCCACCCCTGAGCGGCGGGTGGGGGCCCTAAATACCAATAGGGGGGGAACCTATTGTCCTCCCCCCCGCCCCCACCCCTGAGCACCTAAATAAAAATTTTACCCCCCCCCAGATGACTAGGGGTCCCCAAACCCCTAGTCACCTCCTCCCCCCCAAAGAAAATTAGCACCTTACCTACCCCCCTCACCCTAAAAATAAATAATGAGGGGGGACCTTTAACTAAAGTACCTGTAAAAAAATAAAATAAAACTTACCATTGGATGTTTTCTTTCTTCTAAAATCTTATTTTTTCAGCCCCAAAAAAGGCCAAATAAAAAATCCATAATAACCGACGCAATTTTAAAAAAAAAGCGCAAAAAAAATAATAAAAAATCCATCTTCACCCGGCTAGGGCTCTGCGCAGACTGAGCTCTGCAGGGCGGGGCAAGGCTTATAAAGCCTTGCCCCGCCCTGCAATTAGGCTCAGAGCACTCTGATTGGTGAGTTTAAGCCATCCAATCAGAGTGCTCTGATAGGTAAATGAAGAGACTGACAGGTAAGTCTCTACATTTACCTGTCACAGCACTCCGATTGGTTGGTTTGAAATCCACCAATCGGAGTGCTCTGTGTCATTTTACACAGCGTGGGAAAGTTCTTTGTAATTTTCCCACGCTGTGTAATTTGACTCATAACTCTCTGATTGGTTACTTAATCCACCAGAGAGTTATGAGTCAAATTACACAGCGTGTATAAAACAACACAGAGCACTCTGATTGGCAAATAGAATTTTTTGTTTCGCGTTTTACATCCCCTTTAGTGTATCTCTTACAAACCCATTGTTTGTCTCTTTGTATGTCGCCTACATCCCCCCAGCCCCTTTGTGTGTCTCTTTCCCCCCTCCCTTAGCCTCTCTCTGTATGTCTTCAACTCCCCTGTCCCTTAATAATCTTTCACTCCCACCTGTCTCTTGGGGGTCTCTCCTCCCCCCCCCTCTCGGTGGTCTCTCCTTCCCTGTGCTTTAGTGGTCTCTCCTCTCACAGTCTTCTCTCCTCTCCCCCCCCCACTTGTGGTCTCTCCCCTCTCCCCTCGTGGTCTCTCACCCCCCTTCCTCCCCTCGTGGTCTCTCTCCCCTCCTTCCTCCCCTCATGGCCTCTCTCCCCTTCCCTCCCTTGTGGTCTCTCCCCCCTTCCTCCCCTCGTGGTCTCTCCACCCTCCCCTCGTGTTCTCTCCCCTCCTCCCCTCCCCTCCCGGTCTCTCCCTTCCCTCTTCCCTCGTGGTCTCTCCCCTCCTTCCTCTCCTCATGGCCCTCTCCCTTCCTCCTTGTGTGGTCTCTCCCCTTCCTCCCTCTCGTGGTCTCTCCCCTTCCTCCCCTCGTGGTCTCTCCACCTGCCCTCCCTTGGGTCTCTCCTGTCCATCAGGTCTCTCCCTGCCCCCACTAGGTGTTCTCTCAAGTCCCCGTTGTTCTCCCTCCCCGTGGTCTCTCCTTCCCCTCCTGGTGGTCCTCTCCCGTCCCTCGTGTTCTCCTCCCTCCCCTCGTGGTCTCTCCTTCCCTCCTCATTGTTCTCTCCCCTCCCTTGTGGTCTCCTGTCCCTCGAGGTCTCTCCTGCCCCTCCTCGTGGTTCTCTCCCCTCCTAGAGTGGTCTCTCTCTTCCCCGACCCTCGTGTTCTCTCCCCTCCTTCATGATTCTCTCCTCGTTCTCTCCCCTCCTCGTGATTCTCTCCTCCTCTCCCTCTTCTCTCCTCCCTCTCCCCTCTTGTTCTCCCCTCCCCTCTCCCCTCTTGTTCTATCCCCTCCCTCTCCCTCTTGTTCTATCCCCCTCCCTCGTCGTCTCCCCTCTCCCCTCGTGTTCTCCTCCCCCTCCCCCCCTCGTGTTCTCTTCACCTCCCTCGTGGTCTCTCCCTCCCCTCTCCTAGGTGGTCTCTCCCCTCTCCTAAGTGGTCTCCCCCTCCCCTTGTGGTCTCTCCTTTCCTCCTCCCCCCTTCCTCAAGGTGGTCTCTCCTTCCCTCCTCTCTCCCCAGCCTTCCTTCAGGTGGTCTCTCCTTGCCTCTCTCCCACCCCCTTCCCTCCTGGTGGTCTCTCCTTCCCTCCTCCTCCCACTCCCCCTTCCCTCAAGGTGGTCTCTCCTTCCCTCTCCCACTCCCACTCTCCCCTTCCCTCAGGTGGTCTCTCCTTCCCCTCCTCACTCCCTCCCTTCCCTCAGGTGGTCTCCTCCTTCCCTCTCACTCCCCTTCCCTCAGGTGGTCTCTCTTTCCCTCTCACTCCCCCTTCCCTCAGGTGGTCTCTCTTTCCCTCTCACTCCCCCTTCCCTCAGGTGGTCTCTCTTTCCCTCTCACTCCCCCTTCCCTCAGGTGGTCTCTCTTTCCCTCTATCTCCCCCCCTTCCCTCAAGTGGTCTCTTCTTACCTTATATTAATGCTAGGCCCCAAACCAAATTGGATTATATAAAATCGCATGGGAAAGGGATCTCCAGAGAGAAATGGCTCTTGATGACTGGTTGGCTATTTCTTTAAATTTGAAAAGGTATCACCCAGTGTTCGACTCATTTGGACAACCACTATAAAGTTTTATATCAGTGGTATCGGACTCCATCCAGGCTCATAAAAATATACCCCAATTCTAAAAATCTCTGCTGGCATGGCTGTGGACAAACATTGACATATTCCCATATGTGGTAGCATTGTCCACGTTTTCACTTATTTTGGAAGAATGTACATACAATAATCAGGGATATTACTCCTCCTTTATTAAGTTCTGCCTTTCTCTGGTAAAAAAAAAAAATCACGTTTCCTGGTCACGCCTGTGCTGCCTGGGACAGATGGGCGGAGCGGGAGCAGGGGGTGTGAGGTCTGGAGTGGAGGGAGGGAGGGGGAGTGAGTCAGTGCTGTGTGGAGCTGAGTTCAGGTCTAGGTAGGAGCGAGCAGTCATGGACACTTCTGATCAAGATTTGCTGAAGCCGGAGTCTGTGCCGGAAGGAGAAGATGTGGCTGCTTCAATTCCTGAAGAATTATCAGAGGAAGAACAAGAGCATCTCCGGAAGGAGCTTGAAAAGGTAGAGGAGGAAATTTAAACACTTAGTCAAGTGCTGGCTGCGAAGGAGAGACATCTGGCTGATCTCAAACGGAAACTTGGAATCACAACTTTGTCCGAACTGAAACAGAACATCTCCAAAGGGTTACAAGATGTTGCCTCCACAAACGTATACAAAAAGACATCAGAAACCTTATTTCAGGCTGGTCAGAAGGCCTCTTCTGCCTTTTCAACAGTTGGTTCTGTCATTACAAGTAAACTGGAAGATGTCAAGAATTCACCCACATTCAAGTCTTTTGAAGAAAAGGTGGAAACTTTAAAGACCAAAGTTGGTGGCAGCAGACCAGCCACGGGAGATTTTGGCGAAGTGTTGAACTCCACAGCGAATGCCAGTGCCACAGATTCTTTAACTGAGAACGATCTGGAGACCCAGTGAGATGTCTCTGTGTACAGCAACCAATACTGCAAGATGCTGCAAGAAATGTGAAACCTGTCTATTGCGTTGTCCCATATCTTTCTTTCTTTGTATCTTTAACCTATCCTTAGATGCTAGCCCTCTGCGTGCTAAAAGTGTGTGCCGTGTGCAGTTCATTTCATTAGCATGAAACAGGGTTAACAACTTTAACAACTGATACGTTTAAAAGCGGTTGTATATTTTTATTAACACAAAGTTTTTGATGTTTTTGTCTTCTTTTTGATTTTGCATCAACTTCAAAAGGTTTATCATCATATCTGCCAAATGTGTTTTTTTTTTTTTTTTTACACTGGAAGCTTTATTAACTGTGTGGACACTAATAAAAAAAGTAACAATGAACATTCGCGAGTAAACAATAAATTGCTGCCATCCACCTGATCCCGAATTAAGAGATACAGTTTATCATGAGATATCAATGGGCTCTTTCTTACTTTATTGGCAGATCGTGACACTGGTGTGATGGGATTCCAGCATGGTCAAAATTTAGTAGGCCAAAATCTCCATGTGGCATATGTGTATGTTTTGTCAGTTGGTTAGCTACATGTAGCTAGGATACTGTCATCAGTGTACTGAGCATGTGCAGGAATGCAGGAACTGAAATTGCACTTATTTCCTTTGTCTTGGATGAGCCATGTGGTTTGACTAGATGTACAAGTCTATATTCTGCTCATTGATTGGTTAAAGGTATATGTGGGTGTAGCTATTAATGGGAGGAGTTATAGTGCTATATAAGGAATGTACACTATGTGTTGGTCTCTCAGATCTTTTGGAACAGGAGTTCATCTGAGACCCGATCGGTAATGTGAATAAAGGCCTGTTACTTCCTGAAAACCTGTGTCCAATATTTCTGTGTTTGGCTTCTGCATGCTTACACTGCAACATCTCTGGTGCATTGGCAGTGGGAACCTCATTTGCATGGAAGCTAGCGCAGAGATTTGAGACGGTAAACTTTTACCAAACCTTCTACGCTACAATCCTGGACTTCTACTGCGTGGACCTCCTTTCGTCTCGGCGCCACTGGCCTTTTGTCCAGGAGATCATCGGCTTCTGCGCAGTGAGTCCCGGATTGTTCCGTCTATGAGTGAACCCAGGTCCAGAAATTAACAGGTAAGATTGATACCGTTAGAGCGGTAGACCCACAAGGGGTTTTATATTTGGAACCGGTTATTGGAATCTGCCCTGTCCTTATGGATGGAAGAAGTGAAAGCGCAACACTTATCTGGAAATTAGACGCTCTGTAGTCAGCCCGTCTAATATAGGTGGTTTGGGTCAGACTGAGTTCTGGTGTAAATAGCTCATGTCGGACACCGGTGTCCTGTCTTGACTAGCGTATCTAGGGTGTAAATTTTGTTCGCTAGGTCGGGGGGACCGGGAGACTAGCATACTCTGTTGTATATTATAGTTTGCTAGATTTCACCCTATCTTAACTAAGTGTGCTCTGTTGTAAATCCAGCCACTAGCTTATTGATAGTTTAATAGACTAGCTGGGTACTGTGTAAATTCTGCCCTCTAGTTCGCTATACGTGGTGTCTGGGCAGCGAAGAACTTATCGAATCTCTGGTGTATAAATAGATCGAAAGCTCTCGAGGTGCTGGCCAGTTAGAATAGTTGGGATTATTGTAAATGTTGTTAAATATATTGTAGTTGGTGAATTGGTTAACTTGTATGTCCTACTAGAAAGTTAGAGCTCTGCTGTCTAGTGGGAGTGTAAATTGTGTGTATAACTGTAAAATAGCGCACGGTACCATAACTACTGACATGTACCATAACCACTGACATTGTGTAAAAATTACTAACAATTGCTGTTTTATGTTATATGTATAATACCATAACTGTTACTAACTGATCTGTGACTTTAAAACTGTATTATAACCACTTACTAACTGTACCATAACCACTGACTGTACAGATGAGGTTACTAGAATGTGATATAGTTGGTTAGTCAAAAGTTGATTTATAGTACGGATAATTGTAGAGATGAAATTGTTGAAATGTTATGTGATCGGTTAGTTTATATGGATTAATAGCGTGGATAGTTGTATGGTTTGAATAATAGTTACATTGATAAGTGTATAGTCTTTGGTGGGTTTTTTTATTTAATTTCGTGTGTGCGACGTCGTGATATTGTTGAGCATGTGAGGATCCTGTGTGTGTGTTTGGGCCTAGTGACTGCGCAATGTGTTGCTGGTGATAAGGAGATTGGTGTGACTGTTGAAACTGTGTGTATATTTGTACAGCTTTTTGAATCAGACGTTCTGTGGCAATGATCTTCTGATTCACTAGGCTGTTAGTCTTTTGTCTTGTATGTTTAAAAAAAAAAAAAGTAGAGAGTAGCCTGTCCTGGTGGCCGGATGGCCTCCATGTGGCAGTCTTCACTTAAATTTAGTGCAGGGTGTACATGTGGCTGTAACTAGTAGGCTGGAATTCTATGATCAGTTTCTATATATTGACTGTTGGAAACTGATTGTTGAAAAACTGCCTTGGTAAATTAAACTGTGTCATATGGGAAACAATGTAGCCATATGGTGGTCAGAACTAAGGCCTTAATTACAACTGCTTTGGACATCCCCTCCCCCCTGGCATCTGATTACCAACCCCCCAAACATCCTCTAGAGCCAGATTAGCCACGCCCCTATTCTTCTTCCCAAGCTAAGAACTGGTATATAGTCAGTATTTGCACTCCCCCTGCTCTACTGTCCCCGCCTACCCACATACCTATCTGTTCCTGTGTTTCAAACTCTTGTATTTCTGTACTACCCCTCCCCCTAATCAACGATCAATGGTATCAGATGGTATATGGTCTTTTTTTTAGTTACTGGATGGGCCCCTCCCAGCTTTGTCCAAAATGTCCCCTTTTACTAAACTACAAACTGAGATGTTTAATTTACCTTAGAACTAAAGATTTAATCAAGCCTAGCTAGCAGGGTGGACATTGATTAAAATAAGTAATAATAAAATAGGACATAATTAATTAAAGTCTATTTGTTTCATTTGACTTTAGGGAGGCACTCTAAGCCACCTACGGGCCATCTTCGGGAGTTACATTGATAATACATTGTTTATAACAAATAGAAGTAGGATTGCTTACCCTATTTTAATATATTTATTTCTATAAGGTTTTATTTTATGTATAAATATATTAAAAGTTAAGTTTTCTTATTAGACCCATAAAGATTATTTTGATACAATTACCCTCTGGTGACACCTACTGGTAGGTTTTTGGTTTAACACTTTAAACAAAAACGTTTTTTCATCCACCAAATGCCGACTAATAAAATTAGCTCACCCCCTTACACCTATCTTACTACTCCTAGACTGGAACCTATTATTGAGCAGCCTTGCCGAAGTCCCATATTAGACACTGCTTGAGTCAAATAGATTGTACACTCCTCCAATCCTGAAAACTTCCGAATGATAGACTCAGCATTTGTCAGCCAGGCCCAAGGTGATATTAAAAGGAAATTACAGAAATTAGAGGGATTTGCAGGGATGTCCATATCACAGCTAATGGAGGTTGCAAATAAGGTGTATATGAATAGGGAAACTGAGACAAAGCGTGAGGAAGAACGTAAAATGAGGAAAAAGGCAGATATGCTAGCGGTAGCTATCTTAAGTGTAGAAAGACAGGGAAGTGAATAGAGGAGACGAGAATAGGCTGAGCAAGGGACCTTTAAGTAGGAATTAATGTGCGTATTGTAGAAAGGAGGGACATTGGAAGAGTGAGTGTCCACAGAGAGAGCAGTATGAAGGTGATAGACAAGGAGTGAGAAGGGTACGAGGAGGTTATAGTGGTAGTTATAGAGTAAGAGGAAGTTTTAGAGGGAATGATGGGAATAGTAGAGGAAGTGTTCAAGGAGACAGATACTATCCACCCACGCAGAGACCTAGAGAAAGAGAGGATAGAGATTTTGTGGGTCTGGCTGACACTATCATGGAAGACTATTGATACCGACTGGGCTCCATCCCACTTGGTCGAGCGTAGCCTATGGTCGATGTAGCAATAGGGGGAAAGAGAAGTTCTTTCATGATCGACACAGGTGCTGAACATTCTGTGGTAACTAAGATGGTGGCTCCGCCTTCGGGGAAGACTATAACTGTGATAGGAGCAACTGGGAAGAGCACTGCTAGACCGGTTCTTAAGAGTCACACTTGTATTCTGGGAGGCCATGTGGTGAAGCATTAGTTCCTATATATGCCAGAGTGTCCGATTCAACTTTTAGGACGAGATCTATTATCGAAGCTTTAAGCTCAAATAACCTTTTACCTAATGGATTAACATCTCTGAAGTTTAAGGGATTACCAGGCATAATGGCGATATCGGTGCCGAGGGAAGAAGAATGACGCTTCTATTCCATAGTGACAAGTATTAACCCTAAGAGTGATGAATCCTTACTTGACATTCCAGGAGTATGGGAAGAAAATAATCCTCCAGGACTTGCTCGTAATATCCCACCAATACATATTGAGTTAAAGCTCGGGGTGTATCCTGTTAGCCTTTGTATGTTGTTCTTTTATCTACCCCAACAGCTGTAAAGGTGGCGGAAGTGACTCCTTGGATTCATCATTCTAAGGTTAAACCAGCAGCAGACTCTTGGCAAACTACTCCAGATCCTGAGAATCCTTGCAGGATCCGGTTGAAGCGTGCAACTCAGTCGGAGTGACGAGGGGATATCGAGACATTCTAGTTAAAAGTCTACAAAGATCATCAAGTAGGTGTTTTGACGGCCATAATAAAGCCTGACCACCTGCCTACGTGTCATAGCCAGAGTATCTTGAAGGGATCTCTGTGAAGGAAAGTGAGGATCAGAAGAACAACATCCTTGCAGCCCTCACAATCGGGAAGCTGAGAGGCCATCGCACGGTCGAAGAAAAATGAGGATTTCAGGAATAATGTGTTTTATTGTGTCTTAGTATTTTTATGATTTTTCAGGAAGGTAGGAGTACAGACATACCGAATTGCGATAGTTGCATTAAGACTACTAAAACAGGTAACCAAATATCCCAAACTCTCATCTGGCACTCACAGTATGAATGTAAGGGATCTGTATCTAAATGTAGATATTTGGATATTGATTATAGTGTGTGCAAGCCAATATCAGGAGAGTCTAAATGTTTTGATCCCCATTTCCAACCCCGTACAATTTGGTTGGTAATTCGGAATAGTAACTCCCAGGGGACATTAATAAATAGGACTGTGATAAGCACCATACATTCCACGGGTATTCTACTATTTGATGCATGTAAGGCGATTTCGGGTAGTGGAAGACTTTGGAATGTATGTGGTAATCTTAAATGGGAACGAACTTATGGGTTTAATGATAAATACTTATGTCCCAGTAAAATCTACTGATCCTGATTGCCCAAATAGAGACTAACTTCTGCCCCTATTTGTCATGTGTAGGTTGGGCAACCTGGGAAAAACAGTGGATCAAGATATGATTATCCAAAGGTTGCCTACCACACCATACTGTAAAACTATGTGTGTAACCCCGTTCACATGACCATTTCCAATCTGCAGTACTTTATTGACAGGTTTGGAGGTCTGTTTGGGTTCCAAATATATGGCACAGGAGTAGATTCAGGAACAATAATATATGTAGGTCTTGAAACTGAGACAGTGGCAACTCAAACTCATCAGGTTTCTCATTCCTTCTATGAGGAGATGAGTATTGAGGATAAAATTCCCCATAATGTTAACAACCTATTTATTGATTTGGCTGAGGGTATTGCAGGTAGTCTTAATGTAACTAATTGCTATGTGTGTGGAGGTACTAATATGGGAGACCAGTGGCCATGGGAGGCAAAGGAAATATGGTACCCTGGCTCTGAGACATATGAACAACAGATACCTTTCCAGTCTGATCATCAAGTAAGTACTAGAAGTAAATTGGAATGGTGGTTAAAACCTCCATTATAGGTCATGTTTGTATAGCCAGGAAAGGGACAATGTATAACACGTCTGTAGGTGAGCTAACTTGCTTGGGACAAAAAGCCTATAATGTTAATACTAAAAATACTACTTGGTGGTCAGCTTCAAATGTCTCGGAACCTACTAATCCGTTTGCCAATTACACTCATTTAAAGGAGGTATGGTTTGACTTATCGGCTACATCTAGTTGGAAAGCCCCAGCAAATTTATACTGGATTTGTGGTAAGAAAACTTATTCGGAGTTACCACAAGATTGGGAAGGGGCATGTGTATTAGGTATGCTCAAGCCATCCTTCTTCTTGTTGCCAATCGAAACAGGAGAGACCTTGGGAGTTAAGGTTTACGATGTAAATCATAAAAGGGAGAGAGCATCCTTGAATATAGGTAGCTGGGAAGATAATGAGTGGCCCCCTCAACGTATTATTAATTATTATGGACCTGCTACTTGGGCAGAAGATGGCACTTATGGATATAGAACTCCGATATATATACTCAACCGCATTATTAGACTACAGGCGGTAGTTGAGATTATTACTAATGAGACAGCTCAAGCGCTTAATCTTCTAGCTAAGCAAAATACCAAGATGTGATCAGCCATATACCAGAATAGGTTAGCCCTTGATTACTTACTAGCAGTAGAAGGAGGTGTATGCGGAAAGTTTAATCTAAGTAACTGTTGTCTGCACATAGATGATGAAGGGCAGGCAGTGGCTGAACTTACAAGCCACATGGTTAAATTTGAGCATGTACCTACTCAGGTCTGGAATGGGTATAACCTAAGTAGTTGGTTTGGAAGTTGGTATGAGCAGCTTGGAGGAATTAAGACATTAGTAGGAGGAGTAGAATTTATTATATTTTTTTGTGCCTCCTCCTGCCCTGTCTAATTCCATTAGTGGTAAGGTCCCTACGTAGTATTATAGAGAGTACTATAGAGAGAAAGACAGCGGCTCATGTAATGGCTGTCTATAGATATGATCCCCGAAGAGAATATATTCAGGATGAAGAATGTTGAAGGAGTTTTTAAGATGCTTACAAGGTCTACTCTGGTTAAATGGCTACTTGAGAGATGTAGGTAAAACTGTGATTGGTGATGCATCTGGAATAATGTTATATCAGAGGCATCAAAGGGGGGAATGTGATGGGATTCCAGCATGGTCAAAATTTAGTAGGCCAAAATCTCCATGTGGCATATGTGTATGTTGTGTCAGTTGGTTAGCTACATGTAGCTAGGATACTGTCATCAGTGTACTGAGCATGTGCATGAATGCAGGAACTGAAATTGCACTTATTTCCTTTGTCTTGGATGAGCCATGTGGTTTGACTAGATGTACAAGTCTATATTCTGCTCATTGATTGGTTAAAGGTATATGTGGGTGTAGCTATTAATGGGAGGAGTTATAGTGCTATATAAGGAATGTACACTATGTGTTGGTCTCTCAGATCTTTTGGAACAGGAGTTCATCTGAGACCCGATCGGTAATGTGAATAAAGGCCTGTTACTTCCTGAAGACCTGTGTCCAATATTTCTGTGTTTGGCTTCTGCATGCTTACACTGCAACAGTGGGGGTTTCTTTATTTAAACATTGAATTGCAGTGCATCAAACATCAAATTGCACTTGTTAGACAAAAATAGCTGATATGGAAAAATGTAGCCTACAATTCAGTTTTCAGTTTGCTACTGTTTTAGTATATTAATGATGTTGCCTAGTGTTCTGCTGGGGGAGGGGGGTGGGGTTCACAGTTTGTGCCTCTGTGCTAATATTAAATTTAAAATGTCATTTAAAAAAAAAAAAAAAAAATCACGTTTCCTGAAGAGACTAAAGTGTTTTGCAGTTGTGTAGGTACTGTGCTAAGTTGTGTTTGGTGGGTTTTATTATTAAAATACCTGGGGGATCAAGGCACTCCATTTATAAATAGTCTTGGTGGCGGCAGCATTAAAATAGTAACATTTATATTATTATGGTTAAGTGTGGTTAAGTGGGATTTTATCATTATTTCTGGTCTAGCAGACAAATAGTGAACTTTAATGTAGTTCACCACCACAACTACATCACGCACACACTCTTCTCTCTGTATGTCTTGACTCCCCTGTCCCTTAATAATCTTTCAATCCCACCTGTCTCTTGGGGGTCTCTCCTCCCCCCTCTCGGTGGTCTCTCCTTCCCTGTGCTTTAGTGGTCTCTCCTCTCCCAGTCTTCTCTCCTCTCCCCCCACTTGTGGTCTCTCCCTCTCCTCGTGGTCTCTCACCCCTTCCTCCCCTCGTGGTCTCTCTCCCCTCCTTCCTCCCCTCATGGCCTCTCTCCCCTCCTTCCTCCCCTCATGGCCTCTCTCCCTTCCCTCCCTTGTGGTCTCTCCTGTCCCTCGGGTCTCTCCCCTGCCCCTCCCTCGTGTTCTCTCCCTCCCCCCTCGTGTTCCCCCTCCCCTCGTGGTCTCTCTCCCCTCCTGGCCTCTCTCCCACTTAACACCGGATAAAATCCCACTTAACACCGGCCACACTTAACCATAATAATATAAATGTTACTATTTTAATGCTGCCGCCACCAAGACTATTTATAAATAGAGTGCCTTGATCCCCCAGGTAACTTAATAATAAAACCCACCAAACACAACTTAGTGAACTTTAATGTAGTTCACCACCACAACTACATCACGCACACACTCTTGGAGTAGGGTGCGTCAGTGACAGCCGGTACATGTAAAGTGCTTTTACAACTTATTTGACACTTTGTAGATTTTATTTTTTGGGGGAGTGGGGGGGGTGGATCGGGGGATTGTCTGGAGTGTCTAATATTTTTGGTTCAATTAAAATTTTGTAATATTTTGATATAGGTATGTTTCGTATTTTTGCTTTTAATCTTTTTTATTTTTATAACAATTAGGGGAAGAAAAATAAGGCACAACATTTAACAAACATTTAACATATCCCTGTGATATGAATCTAGGCTTAATATGCTAATAAAGAATAAAAAAATAAGTTAGATGGATAAATTACAAGGATGGGAACAACCATTATATCATCATTATTCATTCAATCCACTGATCAAGTTCCTCTTCATTTAATCTTTCTATACCCATCTCCATTTTGATCTGAAAAACTAACTGCTCCCCAACCATTAGCCAGCACGGCTTCCAATTTCTGGCTACAAGTAATTTAGTGGCAGTCAGAAGATGGATAACAAACGAACCTAGGCCAAAATTTTTTATATAAATTGAGAAGTAGGAACACCTTTGGATAGAATTGAAAGGGTTCTTTGAGCAGTTTTTGAGTTTTAACATAAATCATATTCCAGACTAATTGGAGCAGTTGACACTCCCACCAGATATGGAAAAATGACTTTTTGGGCTTGGCCTCTCCAAAATATGTCTGAGTAACTAGGATAAATCTTTGACAGTCTGGTGGGAACCAAGTACTACCTGTTTCGGTTAGATTTAAACAATTAACTTTCTTGTTAACCCATTTTAGCAATTCAGTCCAATCGCCCCTTTCAGCTCTAATATTTAGATCACGTTCCCATTGTTTTATTTATTTATTTATTTATTTATATCACCAGTCGAAGGTATGGGTCTGCTTCATTGGTTAACAGCTTTATGGAGTCAGCGACTATACCCTTTGTGATTTTTTAAAGAATTTTCTCTAAAAGTAGTATCTTTGGGGACTTCTCTGTACTCAAGTAGTCCTGCAGATAACTCTTTATTCTAAAAGGTAGCAAAATATTTCACTCTTCTGGAGTTGATAAATTCTAACTAAGGATGTGAAATCTTGGATTTTATTGTTCAATAGAGTATCAATTTTTAATATACCTAAAGAAATCCTATTCCTTATATTGAGATCTTCTATATTACACGCTAAATAAGTTAGAGGGAGCTCAGCAATAATTTCATTCTTAAAATGACAGCTAACTTTAAATTTATCCAAGGTCTTTTTTTAAAATTATTCTAACTTTCCGAAGACCCCTTTTGGGGTTTTTCTACCCTTTTGATCCATCAATCAAAATATGGCCCCCAACGAATGTGACCTTATGGGTCTGAAAAAAAAAAATAATAAAAAAAAAAATATATATATATATATATATTATATATATATATATATATATATATATATATATATATATATATATATATATATATATATATATATATACACACACACACACATATATCTATATATATATATATATACACACACATATATCTATATATATATATACACACACAGCCAAAAGTACAAGATAGCACTCCAGGGACTTCCAAGTTGAATGAATAAAACTTAGCTTTTATTAGCTCAAAATAAAAATCAACGTTTCAGTCTGTATCACAGACTTTCATCAGGATGAGCTTGCAAATCAAATCCGTAAGAATATATACCCTCAGTATTCCCTTAACTTACCCAGGTTGAGGATAGGAGTGATCCCAGGGGCACCTGACCAGCAGCCTGCTCAGGTCAAATGATTGACACTGATGATGTCATAGACGTGCGCCTCCCGGGGTCGTTCCCATAGCAACCCAGTATAACCAACAAAATAATACATATACATATAACTAAAAACATAGCCTGCATACAGGAATAAAAAATGTTGAAGAAAGACCTATACACCCCATCAGGGGCCATTTAGATACAGAGAAAATCCATAGAGAATATGTTAGAAATAGACAGCAGGCAGAACTAATCGAAAAACGATCAAACTGCAATTAGCCTGTAGCAACCTATTAACAAGATATAAATATACAAACTATACTACCTAAGGAATAGATAATGCATAAAGAAGACATGTAACTTATACTACAAATACAAAAATAAAATGCAGGCATGAGCAATCAAACCTGCAGAGATTCCAATCTAACTACAGGGAGCAAAGTACCAACAAACAGCAATTGAAAGCATAATTGTACCAAGAGTAATGTATCACTCCGAATCCTTAGATATCATTATACAGGTAAAAAGAGTAGTAAAGGATAAATGTCAGAACTTCTTAGTCAAAAAAGGGAGAAAACATGAAAAGGCGATACCAGATATATGTGATTAAATATCCACCAACTAAACCTATGGGGAAAAGAACGTAATGCACAATAACCAGAAGATACAAGTATAGCCACTAAGTAGAGCTGCAGTGATCTAAAGAGAAGAGGGTACCAAGAATGACTGGTGTACTCCCAGTCTAGTCCAACATGAACACATAAGTAAATACATAAATAACTCAAACACTCAAGCAGCAGAGCAAAGAACCAATGTATCCCTGAATCTATATAGACTGGCATACATCACATAATGCATACAGAATACAAAATAATACAAGCGAAGGACATAAAGCAGAGGTCCTTAACAAAATCACATTGTTATAGACATATAATAATAATAATCCTATTCGCACTGGGTGGAATGGGTAATTGAGACGCCTATCCCCCAGGGTGGGCTGTCTCTTAACCCTAAACTCATCCGCCATCAGACAGATAACATGAATCATCCTAAAGATTTTTTTTAGATTTTTTAGTAAGCAGCACAAAAATGCATTAGAGCCTTAGGCTGAAATTAAGAATGGCTGAGATGCCTATCCCCCAGGGTGGGCTACCTCCAAGCCCTTAATAGTCGCCAATAAGTGCCAACAACTTGCTAAATATGTGAATAGCAAAGCGGTATAATGGGAAGGATATTAGAGATGCCTATCCCCCTGGGTGGGCACTCGTTCCCCTATCAACCAAAACCACGATACCAATATTTACAAAAATACTGCCAATGAGTATTTTTCATTCAAACCAAATGGCTGAACGGTGTGTAGAGTCCTAATCCAGTAAAGTTCACGCTGCAATAACAGCTTACTGCGGTCTCCACCTCTGCGCAAAGGTGGAACATGGTCTATGGCTATCAGTTTCAGGGTGGGCAACGAGTGTCCCTTCTCAAGAAAATGTTTTGCCATGGGTTGCTCAGATTTGTTGTCCCTATAAGCAGTCCGTATACTGGATCTGTGGTTACGGATTCGTTCACGTAAGGGTAAATCTGTTTTGCCCACATAGGCCAGTCCACATGGGCAAGTAAGTTTGTATATTACAAAATCCGATGTACACGTTAAGCGATGT